CCTAGTTGGGATCTACCTATTTACAAAGGGATTCCTCCTCACCCGACTCGCACTCCCTGACAGAAATGCAGATACCTGTACTTCACTCGCTACCCACAAAAAAGCAGTATTGCTTGTCATAGACGCCCTCCGCTTTGATTTCATCACAGAACACCCGCCAGAACCTGCATCACCTTTCCATCATAACATCCTAACTCTGCCGCGCGAATTGACCGCCGCTCATCCCGACCGATCATTTATATTTAACGCCTATTCTGACCCACCGACCACAACTCTTCAGCGACTCAAAGGCATCACCACAGGGTCTCTACCCACCTTCGTAGATGCCGGAGAAAACTTTGGAGGCTCTGCCATCCATGAGGACTCCATTATGCATCAGCTAAACGCTGCGGGCAGAAAGGTATGTGCTGACTCCTTTTTCCCTCCGTCTCCCTGATACAATCCAAAGAAAAGATCGCTCTCGCCGGCGATGACACTTGGCTCACCCTTTTCCCAGATGCCTTTCAGTCAAACATGACCTTTGCCTTTGACTCCTTCAACGTCGAAGACCTTCACACCGTAGACCAGGGCGTCATCGATAATCTTTTACCCTTGATGCGACATCAAGACTCGTGGCATTTTGCCATAGGTCACGGTTTAGGTGTCGACCATGCAGGTCACAGAGTCGGTCCAGACCATCCCGTCCTCAGAGAAAAACTCGAGCAGATGAACACTCTTTTGCATGATGTCGTTGCAGCCATGGACGATGATACCCTCCTCATAATGCTCGGGGATCATGGAATGGACAAGATGGGTAATCACGGAGGTGACAACGTCCTAGAGACAATGTCAGCCCTCTGGATCTATAGCAAGGTCCCTCTTTCCCTTCCCGAATACACAATTCCAGAGGTCATTCTACCGGTGATCACATTCCCAGGCACTCCGGTCCCCCATCGCCATGTCCAGCAGATAGACTTGGTGCCAACTATCTCCTTACTCCTCGGTCTTCCTATCCCATTCAATAACCTCGGAACTGTCATTCCAGAACTTTTCAATCGGGACTCCGACGGTTCATCTTTGCAGAAAGCCATGGAACTCAACGCAGCTCAGATCAGGCGCTATCTCGACACTTATCGATCTAATTCGTCTGGTAAAGAACTTGATCCTGCCTGGCATGATTTCTCTCTCGCCTGGGATGGCATAGATGCGACGGAGGGGAATCACCGTCTCATTGCGCTTGATAACTTTACTCGTTTGGCGTTATCTGCTTGTCGGATTCTCTGGGCTCAGTTCAACGTTTTCCTGATGGGCGCTGGACTGGCTGTCATTGGTTTGAGCATCCTCGTCGGCTGGGCGTTGTACTCCAAACTCCGAGATATTGCGGACGTCGAATGGGAGAAGTGGGTGGACGACAAAGTCTGGTGGTCGTTCAGCGCCTCTGCCGTAGGATTTGCCATAGGATACCTGACGCACGTCGTGTTGCATGAGTATTTGGACGGCGTTGCCATGCATCAGACCATGCTCTTCGCTGCCGCCATCTCATCATCATTCGTCATGATAGTGACCACCCGCCCCACAATCACCTTGGAATCCATCAAATCACTCCCCATTTTCCTCATTCTGCACACCCTATGTTTCGCATCAAACTCATTTACAGTATGGGAGGACCGCATCGTGCTCTTCTTCCTCATCTCGTCCATCGTGCCCTCCGTCATCACAGGCTTCACAGCTCCCACCTCCCGGCTGCGCTACCGCATACTAGGCTTTTCCGCTCTCTTCGCTATATGTGTGCGCCTCATGGCTATGAGCACCGTCTGTAGGGAAGAACAACACCCATACTGCACCGTTACCTTTTACACGTCCGAGTCATCGTCAGCTCCACCACTCATAGCACTCCTCCTCGCCTTCCCTGTTGCTATCGCAGTTCCCCGCGTCGTCCGGCGCATACTCGAAATCTCGAAATCAGACTCTGGTCTCGCTGTAACGTTCATTCCGCTGTTGTTCGCACCGTCTTTGATCGCTGGCACGATGTTCTGGATGCTCGAATGGGTAGACTCTGCACAGGTCCTGGGAGATATGGGTGACGTTTTGAGGGTGACAAGGACAGTGTTGGCGAGGACCACTGCTGCTGTTATGTTGATTGGGGGGTTGTCGGTCTGGTGGACGTCACCTGTTTGCCTTGCGATTTCAAAAAGCCAAGCGAGTAAGGCATCTACACAGGAAAATATTGAAGTTACTGTGTTAGGCTTTGCCAACGCATTCGGCTCTCCTTACCTCATGCTCTGGCTCATCTTCTTCAGTATCGTGTGGTTGATGACACAACTTTCAGGACAGATCGTCCTTGGACTCTCATCCATCGCTCTTCTCTCGTATCTAGAGATCATTGATAGCGTACGGGACGTCCACAGCCTAAACAACTCATTCACATCCCCCAACGCATCCCCCCAACTCGCCAATACCAATCCGAACCACGACCTCTCATTCTCAGAAATCGTACCCCTAGCGCTCCTAGCGACGCACACGTATTACAGTACAGGCCACCAATCGACATTTTCATCTATCCAATGGAAAAGCGCATTTATCCTCGGAAAGACGCTCTCCTTCCCTTTTTCACATGTTTCCGTTATCATCAACACCTTCGGGTCCTTTTTCCTCGGAGCACTGGCGGTACCGCTGATCGTACTATGGAACCTCCCTCCCCTCCCCCTCTCCCCCTCTCGCCCCCGCCCAAACGCACTAAGAGCCGCACTAGCGATATCGTTGTATTTCGCAGTGTTGGCGTTTGGAGCAGCTGCGTGCGGAGCGGTGTTGAGGAGGCATTTGATGGTGTGGAAGATCTTTGCGCCTAGGTATTTGGGTGCTGGTTTTGGGCTTTTGGTTGTTGATGTGGGTGTTTTGGTTGGTGTTGGTGTTGGCGTTGGGGCGGTTGGGGCGGAGATTGGGAGGGTTTTTGGGAGTGTGGGAGGTGTTGATGGATCTAATTGAATTGAGTTCCTTGGATCGATCACTCTGGTTGATGTAATTATGGTGTACGGCTTTTTAATACAGCAAGAACTCGATACTTGGAGGGAGATCGGAACGTTTTGGTTGCAAAGGCGGAGCACTGCCAGACACTGGATACATGTACTGTCACTGCGTCGATCGCGGTAGCTTTGGCGTATTTAAATTCTGAATTGGAGAGCTCGAGTGCCCTTATGAGCGTGAAAGCGCTGCCTAGCAGGGAAGAACAATATTAATGGTCTTCTCCTGAGTCCTCAAGGCCTCATACCTTCCGTTCCATGGCTAGTCACCTGCCTCACACGGGTGCCGGTGAACAGACACCATCTTCGTCTTACTGTCCGTCTGATATAAGGTAACATTGCTCAGCAGGAGGTCTCACAAGCATAGACTCTGTTGAAAGTCGAATATCTAGGTATCATTATCATACAGAGTTTGCTCTTACATCTCAATGACTTCAAGCTGATCCATTCTATCCTAGATAAATAATGAGGGAGAAACGCATGGAATATGTCGCATTTACTTGGATAATGGGAGGAACCCACAACGTCTACATATATTCTCTCACTGTGGATAGTAGTTCCAGTGAAATTCATTGGGTGAAATCATATGATAACGGTCTGAAACCCAGAGCATTAGGTGCTGAAATCAGGGTGCTGAAATTGCTGTTTTTTACTCTGAAATTTTACTCTGAAAAGATACTCTGAAAAGATACTCTGAATTTATGTTAGAATGACAAGCAAAACCATTGAACGATACCTTAGGAACATTGCTTAACCCAATTTACCTATGATAGGTCATAATTTACAAATGGCAGGAATTGAACCAAAAGACCTCATGTTGATAGGCGCAGCGATCTAACCACTAAGCCATAAGCCCTGTACAATATAGACATGGTGACACCAATATATACCAAAACGATGTCATAACAAAAATGTGAAAATTCTGCTGTGACGGTGCCAGGTCATTCAATTATCGAGCTCCACAGCAGATTGATCTCCTGAGCTAAAATGCTAGTAGGATTGGAGTATGGTGCTGAATTCTGATTCAGTATATTTTCCACTGAAATTCAAAATCAGCGCTCCAATGAAATTAACTGCATGCAATTTCAGTGGAAGTTACTCTGAAACATTCAGCATCAGCGCATTTTCCAGTGATTTTCATTGGAACTACTATCTACAGCGTCTTTGAACAAATAAACCGAGCCATATCTCGACGAACTCGCCATAACTGACTCGGAATTCCGTTCTGTCCGACACGACTTCGACATAGGGCAGAAATGTCGTCAAGTATTCCCCCGACTCGCAGTTTTCTACTGTAAATGGTTCATAAACCAGCCTTCCCGGGCCTGAGCCTGGCTGGTGGCGCCTAACAGTTGATGGGCTGAAGTCCATCAGATGTAACCTGTACTCTAAATAAACTGAGTAGCCATCTTGTGTCGCGCTCCTGTCGATCAACAAAGGACGAGCTTGAGTCCAAAATACTTGACTAATTGCCTCCCCCTCGAGTTCCCCGGAGATTCATCTTGAGCTTCTGACCAGTGCGTTTGCAGAAGGGAGATATTCAAAGCCCCTGTCATCGACCAGCTTCTCATAGACACTGTCATCGGAATTTCTCGCGACATACCAGATAATACCTTAGTTACAGGAGCTCCAGATCTACAACTTCTACAGCACCAGCACTTTCTTTCTGTATTCGACATAGGGGCAACATGGGGTTATTGGAATAGTGGTAATAACACGTCAGAAGCCAGCCAAACAAATCACGATTGGTATATGGGGAGGGAATCGTATCTCGATAACTCAAGAAAAAATAATGAGCAAGTAATCAAAAAGATAACGCGGGATGCGGAGGAAAAACATATGAGACGTGCGACGAGGGCGACAACGTAACAGAGTTACTGAGAAGTAGCTCTAAGATGCATCACGCCCGCGCCGAACAGTCGGACTCAGTCTGTCAAGAAATTAGTCATTCAATTAGTACGGGACCAATATCTTCACGGCCTTTCAGGCGGTCTTTCGGCATCGGCAAAATCCACCTTTTCCTTTGAACTTCCAGACCTTTGGTGCCAAAGTACCTCTCGCTCTCGAAGTTCCAATCATGGTTCGCGCGCACCCAGTTTCCCATGCCATTGCAGTACTCCCTAACCTGTGAGTCGATGGGCTCTCCCCATTTCGGAGTGGCTGTCACGGCCTCGAAGTACTTCGTCTCGACTTTTGTATGGCGATCCGCCACCCATAACATGGCGCCGTTGACATCCGTATCAAGCTCGTGCATGACAATTGTTACTATATTGTGACCGTCAAGTCCACACGCTTGCTCTACATTGTAGGACGCGATGTCCTGTAATATCAAATTTGATAAGTATCATTTGCGATATGTTTGCAGAAAGACACTGACATTAGCGAGAGCGATCATGTCAATGGATGCCACCACCACATCCTCAATTGTTGGGTGCGAAATTACTTCATCTGGGATATCGAGACCCAGTTCCAAGAGTGCGAACGCAGGTCGTGCTCCGATCGTTCTGCGGCGCACATGGAAATAACTTTGAATGTCACGAATGCGATGTTCACTTCGGTCAATGGCCTGCTGCACTACGCCCTCTAGATATTCATCGAATGCCGCTATGAACCGCTTCTGCGATTGACCACTAGCGTTACGTATAGTACGTTCCCAGAATCTGTCGGTGTGATATCAAGGTCCCGATGTTGAATATCAAATAGAAAATTACCCACTGGCGAGTGACTTCTCCACCGACCCATTCCCCTGTTGGGCGTGGCTTATAAGGGTGACGCAGAGCATCCATGATGATGCTCTTTTGTTGACGGACCTCGCCCTCTTCCGAGACATCTGAGAATTCATCTATGACAAACGCGAGATTCATGAAATCACAACCACTGCGAAGGTGCTCTGTATAAACTCAGTAAATCATTGACTTGTATACTTCTAGGGATCACCTTCACACGCGATTGGGTAGCATAAACATGAAAGAAGACCTGACAAAAGACATGAGCATACCAATAGGACCATACTGATGAGCAATGCCTTACAAAATTTACCGCTGTCAAAGGCTTTTTGTGCCTTGGGGCTGAAGACTTTAAGGCTTTCAAGCCAAGCAGATGCTTCGGCAGAGACTTTGGAATGGTGCTGATTGAGACGACGGGAAAATGGCCATCTCGCGAGTAAGTCAGGTACGAAGATTTTCTTCAGAGGTTGATCATATCCATCGCCAGCATTGACAGTCACCGACCCCCCAGAAGTGGGACGATCAGAGGCAACCATATTGTGCTGGTCCATGGCCAACTGCGCTCCTATAGCCAACACCAGATGCGCGATCCAGGCAGAGAGAGTGTTGAAGATGAAAGTTGCCATGCTGAAGGAACTTCGGTTCGTATCCATACATGCACTGACTAGATTTTATATCTGCGTTAGTGCTGCCGCTGTTGAGCGATTTCTGGTACCCTGTTATCAGAATTCATCCTACGTTACAGTGTAATCTGCGCGCGATCTTCTGTGTTTGAACTGCCATAGATGCTCTGCATCCCTGTTTATTTTTGTTACGCATTTGTTTCCGTTGCGTCTGATGAGCTGCTGTGGCGCAGTCGCATGCTCGTGAACTATGATTAGTTGTAATGCAATAAGTCAATGACAAGTTAGCATGTACTTTATCCCTGGCATCAAAGCTTATTGTGAGTTTATCTTGCACTCCTCTAAGCCTTGTGGAGCATCTAACGGTGAGTGCCGTCATACTAGTACTGAAGCTTGTCATCGGCCTGGCCGCAGGTACTCGAGATAGGCTCCGCGACGATGTCGTCGCAGCGCGAATGCAAGAACTAGCGTTACCCACTTGGCGTGGATCAGGCTCCGACCCATTTACGGTTTTAGGAAGGTGCCGTGGTTCGATAATTTACTATTTCTACCGTAAGGAGGTTGACTTATGTAAGATACGACTGAGCATTACTAGTACTTCTAGAGATCAAGAAGATGGCACTTCAAATGTTCGTCGCATGCTCAAGTCGGATTGATGGCCCTACATGCCCCTACCCCAAGGCCCCGCGGGGCTCGGGCTTGGCTGCACTTTTTATATTAGACCATCGATAGACCAGATTCCATTTTGTTCTCCTTCTGTCTACTTGTAGAGCTCGACAAATTTGGAAAGGGTCCCGCTTGTTACAATATTTGTCCCGCTTATTTGACGCTCTGAGACGATCGTCATGCCTGGAAACCGCCGTCACGTTCCAACAGCCGTAAAACAGCAATGGGTGACTATGTCTGCCCATATGTCATTCAGTGACTAATATATGACCATCAAACGAGCGGACTCTTACTATGTGGTTTAATAAGTAGAATAAAGCAATGTAAGCAGTCCGACTCGGACATTTTCCTGATGGAACCGTGACGATTCCTTGGTTGGGAAAAGCTCAAGGATCCACATTCTGAATTACAGAGAATTTGGGATGCACTCTGAGCGGTCTACTATATAGCTACTGAAACTGTACTAGTAGTAGCCTAGTAGTAAGTCTTCCCAGTTCTTGAGTTTCAAAAAAGGCATCCATATAAGTCTTCGCCACTCATTAATTGATCAGCGTGCAAGGACTTGTGTTTCTTAAGTTGGGAGCTAATCTACTTCAGAATGTTAACAGGGCACTACAAATTCAAGATTCACCGGTGATTTTATAACACCGTGATTATATTGAAGGTTAGTGAGGGTTGCTGTCGAAGACTCGCCTATCAGTATCATTGAATGAGAGTATGGTCATAGTGCGACCGCTGTGTTGCATGAGGGGGTCCAGAGATATCAAGGCCTGGGATGCAGATTTAAGACGTTGCGGATGCATTCTAATTTTGAAGAGAGACCTTCCGGCGTGGACGGTGGGAGTAGTTAGGGAGTAGTCCCAGCTACGCGGCGAAATGGATATGCATCTGACTCGTGAGGTGTGTCAGTTGGCTCATACTGCTAGATGCATCTGTCAGGAAAAAGTGATAACAGTGCACGTTCAGTGCTGGCAGACGTAGTGCCATAAATTTCCGCAGCGGACGGACCTCCATGTATCTTGCTCTTCGAAGCACCACACGTGGAGCCGTCAGTCGAGACCCTACATACGTCCGTATCATTCTTCCAACCCCCAGCTCTTGGCACTCCCGTCGTAGATGCCTACAACTTGAAAACAAGTTCGCCGTCTGCGCCCCCATTCCGCACTCATTGCACAGTTAATTTAATCTCGATTCGCGGCTCGCCGAATCTGTCTTCGCCATAGTAGACGTCCCTCTTGCCTGTCAAAAAAGTGTTCACTGTGGAATTTTCCATGCGGATAATCCAGTGTTCAGTTCTGTTAGCTCGCTATTTCGATATGTAATGGGCAACGGAAATGAAGGGAAGATCAAGTGATACGTGGGATGAGTAAAGCTAGCAACACTTACCAAGCTAAAGGTCTCGGCGACCGAGGAATTTTGCGTGGTAGGTCAAATGATTCTTGCCTCTTTACAGATATCAGAACTCCTACAGAGCAACTTGCACCATTTGGGCACTGCCCATCCTGATAACCCATTCTGGTACTACGCGGGTGGGATTCCGAGAGAACCACCGTCGTAACGAATATTGAACCACTGGGACGTGAGTCACGCCGGAATCGATTCGTGCGGAGCTGAGCTAGTCAAAGCTCACTTAAACGTGCTTGTGAGGGTCCTCACGAGTTCCATTGCTCTGTGACGGATTCTAACCAACAGAACTGACAACAGTGCCTGTATGTGGGGTCACACTGGCAAGTGAACGGCAAATAGAACCGTAACCACTGAACATTGTCTATAGTCCTGAAAGGTCCTGTCGAAATAGAAACGACCGTCTTCCTTCGCATAAGGTCGGCCTAGAGGGAGACTCTGGCTATGCTACGTGGCCCTAAACGAAGACACAAAGTGGTGTGTGGTGCCCTGTTACCATTCCTGGCAAAAACCCTCTCGTTATAGCAGGTACGACTCGACAATCAGCAAATGAGGCCAGTGTCATATTTATTAAAGTATGCATACACGCTGCAAATCCCTACAGCTGTGGTAATATTGGTCTCACAAGTCTAGACTCTAGACAAGTTGAAGGTCGACGATCTAGCTACATCATACGGAGTTTACTCTTACATCTCAATGACTTCAAGCTGATTCGTTCTAGTCTAGATAAACAATGAGGGATAAACAATGAGTATGTCGCACTTCCTTGGAAAATGGGAGGAACTCACAACTCCAAGTTGGTCTATATTCCCTCTGAACAAATAAATTTTGTCTTTATCGAGCCATATCTCGACGAACTCTCCATGACTGAACGTTCTGTCTGACGCAACTTCGACATAGGGCAGGAATGTCGTTAAATATTCACCCGACTGACAATTTTCTATTGTAGATGGCTCATTAACCAGCCTTCCTAGGCCGGGCTGGTGGCGCCTAACAGCTGATGGGCTGAAGTCCATCAGATGTAACCTGTACCCTGAAGAAACCGAGTGGCCGTCTTTTGTCGCGCCAGCTGCAGGGAATGCATACAATGCTCGATTCCCACTAACGCCAAGTCTGCATGGAAAATAGTGCAGAAAAATACGAGCATTTGAAGGTCCCCAACATGTCCACGGTATTGTTGCTAACATCCCCTCCGAATCAATAAAGTCATCGAAGAAAACCCTCGTGGAGATAACGAAGACCAGATGTGAAGAATGTGAGACAAGGGAGAGTAATCGATGCTTAGGGTCCGAGATCCATTGGGCTTGCATTTTCGGGTGCGAGTTACATGCAATATCGTTCGTCGGAGTGAAGCACTGTAGGTCCCACACTGATGCAGGCAACAAGAAGCACGCTAGCAACTGCGGTGATTGGGACATGTCCTCAATCGAATAGAGCTTTAGATCGTCGCTAATAATTAGAAATCTGTCGTTTCCTAGAAAACAAAAGTCGGGTGACCTGTCGTAATCCAGATCGAGTACAATCGGGCCACTGAGGATGCTCTAAATCGAGTCAACTGTCAAGTCTTTCAACTAATTTTGACCAATGCTCACATTGGACGAAGTTGAGTGTTGCCAGTCCCAAATATCCAACCACCATTTGAACGCGAATAAAGAATCTGTACCAGCAAACAATGGTTCGAAGCGAAGGAAGGCGATATGCCTCCCGAAACCTTCGAGTTTCGAACACGGTGTTTCAAAGTTCTCACGGCTTCTGGGCAGCCACAAGCTAGACATAAACAATATCGGTTCAGCAGCTTGGGGGTGGACACTACCTCCATCCAGGGTTAGAAGCTCGATATACGAGTCCTCATCAGACGGGTAGTTATCATCCCTAACGGCACAGGCGATCGCGAGTAGATTTTGGGCTGCGTCCATGAAAATATCGATGTTACTGTGGTTGGGAAACAAACAAAGCGAACCCGGAGAGAAATTACGCTCGATAGTTTGTTGTGAGGGTTTTGGTAGTATTGGAAAGATTCTGACAGAATCTATGAATGGGTTCCAGAAACAAGCATGCCCGTTGGTGATGTACGTTGCTGTGAAAATCTGGAATGTTTCTGGTATAGAGATTATCTCGAGAGAACGGAGATCAAATTTGGACCATGCGCGGGTGTTTTTCCTTAGGAGTTGTAGGCGCTCTGAAACAGGGATGTGATCGTTGGAAACAGGAAGCAGTTGTTGGCTACCGAGTTCAGTGACGTACTGAAGCTCGGAGGATGACATGTATATTTGGCGAAGGGCCTTGCAAAGCTGCCAGAAAATCGTCAGTATCAGAGTCCATTTAAGACACTGGATGAACAGCGATTAGAAATTTAATAGTAACTCACGGATGTACACCGAAGAATGTCTTGCCAAGGAAGGAAGCTCAGAATGTAAGTCAGGAGTTCTTCAGGAAGAGACAGTAATTCTGTTTTGCACTCCATTTTCAGCTTGGTCCACCGTCTGGTAAGTCGAGACTCAGTGTCAGCATTATCGGCAGTTGAGACGAAGAACTAACCAGAGTTTAGGTCGTCAATAGCGAACTCGGTTACGATTAGTAGCCTGAAAAACATGTCCGTCACGTCGAGAACGCTCTGCCTAAATAGCTGTATGACTAAAGAAAGAACAAAGATATCGCGGACAAGAACTGCAACGACTCAATGGAGCTCAATGGTGACTGACTCACAAAGCAGGTGTTGACAAATGCAAGTTGCTAGTCACCATGTGACTGATCAAAGGTGTGTGATTATAAAAGGTAGCGTAGTCAGCCAATCAACGTCAACTTTGTTCATCCGAGTTGTCCGTCGTGCTAGTAGTTAGCATTTGACTAGCCGAGTGAATCAGTACTTCAGTGACATGGTCAATCCGCTTGAAGTGCCGCCGTATCTTCTCCAACCGCTCATCCCTAGCATCACTGCAGGGACTATTACTTGTGCGCAGGCCTTAGGTGCGTGGTCGACCAATATAGACGACCATTTTCTTGTGTTGCCTCCTTAGTCTCTCTCAATTATTCAAGAACCAGTGCTAACACCAAGTGCAGGGTCCGAAATATACGTTGGCTGCTCGAATGGAGAGCTCCTGCGCTACGCTCTCCGTCCAGATGCGGATCCCACCAAGGTCGGTACCAACGTCTGCGACATCCTTCTCATTCATTACCCTACAAATTTTACTATTTTCACTCTCAGCTCACTTTCGGTTTATCTCTTTTTTTCCCAACTTCAGTCTGCGACACCACGCTAACCTAGCCCAGCTAGACGCTTACGCTCTGCTTTCGCAACAGAGCCACCCTTCGGGCAAGCAGATCGACGAGCTCATCCTCGTGCCATGCATCGCGAGGGCGCTGGTATTATGTGGTGCGTTAGCCTCATATTTGTGAGTGCTTGGTTTAGGGTGTGCAGCTTATGAAAATTTGAGACTGCCGTTTGCACTACACCATACTTTCTCCTGACATCTGCATATTCAATCGCTAAGCATGAACTAATATGCTTCCGCAGATCGCCAAGTCCATATATATACACTCCCTTCGCTTGATCTTATCCAGAACACTAAACCCGTCCGCAATGTCGAGGTTCTTGCAGTCGACCATAATCACCTTCAACGCCCCGCCGCGACCTCACTTACCACTAGAACCACTTCCGCATCAACAAATTTTCCTGCTGAGCGAGGGAAAAACGATGCCATTGACCTCTGCGTTATAAAGCGCAGTACTATTGCTATGTATAGCTTGAGCGAGGAGAAGTTGACATTTTCCAGGGTTGGTTACTTTCAGTGTTCCTTCACACACATCCATCTGTTTTTACTCAGCTGATGTCCGTTGATTCGTCCTTAGGAAATCCCTTTCCGACCTGGAGCCCTCCGTGCTCAGCGTTCAGGGCGTCACCTGTGCGTTGCGACCGCAGACATCTACAGTGTAATCGATCTTGCAACCGCACAGATGTTTGAGTTGCTTCCGGTGACACAAGTCGAGGGTACAGCGGGGTAAGTGGATTAGGACATTACCGTCGTCTCCTTACTGACTCGCACCACCGGCAAAAGTACAATCAAACCACATATCATCGTCATATCTCCATCTGAGTTCCTTTTACTGAGCTGGACGGGTGGGAGCACACTTGGCCTGTTCATTACGGGTGAGGGTGATCCCGTGCGTGGAACACTTGAGTGGCCAGCGCATCCGGTATCCGTGTGTGAGTGATATTTCTTATGTGGACTTCTTTCGTGTTTCTGGCTCGGATTCGCTGATTTTATACCACCCTTCGACCTTCTCGGCGGCACATAAGTTACTTTCATTTCATTTATCAGTTTGTGATTTGTCTCCGAAGTTCCAAGACTAATTACCACGGATTAATCTGCTTAGGCCTCGACTTTCCCTACTTAACAACACTTCTCCCAAATGGCACAATCGAAGTGCACAGTGTTGAGACTCAAACGATTATCCAAGTCATCCCTGCGCCCAATTTTGGCGAAGGGGGGAGGCCGGGCTTGGTCTCGTGCCTTGCTGGTTATGCAGCGCCCTCCTCCGAGCGTGGGGCCAAGATGAAGAAGGTAAAGGTTGTGTTGGTACGCAGTGAGACTGTGGGGCTGAAGATGGACGACAAGAAGGTCCATGAAGGCCAGAACGAGAAAATGGAGGAAGTGGAGAAAGAGAAAAATGCGGATGTCCCGAGTGTGTCTATATGACCGACCTGATTGGTATACGGGCTGTCATTCTGTTTCTCACCCTTCGGACGTTTGGTTGCCCTATCGCATATGAGATCACCTTAGGCAGAATAAGACACTCAAGTAAAGTGCACGTCCTGCAAAACGCAGATAGAGCAATATATGACTGAATTGATTGTCATGGTCAGTATCTCGATTGACAATTTCTTTCCGAGAGTAGTGGCTGCAGAACCAAATGTCGGCGCGTGCTCCGGGAACCACATAGTCCTTTTTCGTCGGAGCCGTCGTTTTTAACAGTGGTGGATGCGGACAAAAGCTGATGCCACTCAATAAATCATTGCTCTCAAAAGTGAAGTAATCGTCCGTCTACTCACTGGTGCATCGCGCAAAACCCATCTGTGCTACGCGCCCACACTGCATACGAGACATAGCAGGTTTCTCTACGAATCATCCCCGAATCATCGGAGATGTACAGAAAACAACTGTAAATGGAGCATTCAGAGTAGAGTCGTAGATGAACATTCAACACAGCAGTCATATAATCGTGTGCATAAGCGTATGCGTTGGGGGAGTTATCCTCTGTACATGGGCAACCGCGGTCATGTGCAGACAAATAACAGTGTGATTATACTTACTGAAGTAGTAGTAGTCCTGAACGCCTGATGACTCGACGAATGGACGATGAAATCACTTGACCACCACCCTGTCACTAGTCTTTAAATCCATCGCGTATACAGAGCTATACCTGGTGTCCATATTACAAGCGCACACACCTCTTCTGATCTGAAAACAATAATTCGAGTGGGGAATAAGTCATGGAAAACACAGTAAACTTGCTAGCGCAGCACAACCAATCATTCATACCGACGAACTCTCAAAGGTACCCCAATACCATCCTCTCCAACAACCCGTGGGCGGGGTAAAAGTCCGCTCGCAACTTCGACTGGCGTATCAGATCCATCCCGCATCTCAAACACGAAGTTCTTCACCAGAACCGATAAAACCGCCTGTATCGTGGTGAGTAACGTCCAAACTAGCTGATTGGATTCACTCACCTTGAATTCCGTAATTGCAAACTCCTTTCCAAGACACATCCTCGAGCCGTCGACGAACGTCAGCAGATGCCTATGGTCTTGGACTTCCTTGGCCTTCCCATCGATCCCGTCTTCAGTCAGCCAACGATCAGGCTTGAATTCTTTTGCGTCATGTCCCCAGATGGCCGAAGAACGATTGATCGCCGCGACTGGTATCGTGATTAATGTCCCTTTCGCTATAGATATACTGTCCGTCATTTCCCCAGACGCCGTACGCACAAGTTCGCTCAAGGGAATAACATCATCTGCCGCTGCCTGTAGACCTATTATGAGCGTCTATTCACAAGTAAACATACACACTCACAAGACGAATGATCTCGCCCACCGGGGCATGAAGTCGTAGAATTTCGTGGACAACCGCATCCAAGTATGGGAGATTGGCCTTTAATTGGTCATATGTCGGATCCGCGCCAAACACAAGCAGTTCCTCTCTCAGGCTGGTTTGGATATCGGGGTGTCGCGATAGCCCGATCAGTGCCCACTGATCATCACATTAATAGCGTGCACAAACGTTATCGCAGGGTAGGCTGACCGTAAGACTGAGAGTCAACGAAAAGCCAGCTAGTATGATATCAGCGGACAAGAAACCGACTCACTGGATGTCGTCTCATAACCTGCCACAAGCAAGACCTTCATTTGCAGGATGTGAGCTCATAAATAATGGCTGTGATAAATTGACTCCACAGACCTGAGCCACTACTTCCTCCTTCGACATATGAAGCCCGGCATCCTGGCCTTCGGATTTAACTGATCGCCACGTTAATCAAGAGGCCACGGTGAATCTCTCGGAGAGCGTACTCAACAATCCGACGATGGACTTTTCCTCGTCTCTCTCGCTCATACTCACATCCTTCTCCCGGCGGCTGCGAATCAATGACTCGTTAGATATTTCCCCCATGGTTACGTTAAGTTGCTTGAACAGATTCGTCCTCTTGGTGGGGATCTTGGTTATGATAGGAAAGGCTAACGCGTGCAGGATAAAAAATTGTTCACTGCTGAGGCCTGTTGGTTGGTTCCGAAAGTATCAAACACTTCGGTCACGCTGGATCGCTTTCCATCGAGCGAGCCGAAATCATGGGAGAAACCAGCGATGCTAATCGTATCTAGACTGATGATGTGTCAGTTAGAGGCATCAATTACAAATTATCTTCGCGTACGATATATGATTCATCCTTCGAGTCATTTCGATTAGGAATACCCCTTGGGAAACCAGGAAAGCTACGCACCAGTTCTGAACTTCGATGACAACGTCGCCATCTTTGCTCGATTCTATAACAATATCCCATGCACCTTTGGCCTGCAAAGTATCAATATAAGAGATGCTGTATTCCCCACATCGCAAATCCTTACTTTGTATGCTGAGTCATAAAACACTGATGTGAGTTTCCGAATCGCTACATTACTGAAACCTGGGGTGAGAGCCTTCCGCTGCCTAATTTACAGGTAGTAGATAAGTCGCTGACGCGAGGACAAGAGCTCGACAGTACCTCCTGTGGTCTTCACCATGAGACGATAATAACCCTCTGTCGATCTGACAAGATATGTCAGACAGACAAAGTAAGATGATGACGTTAACATACTAATGCCTCCAGAAGTGCCAACGAAATGGGCGTCTGCACATATGTCCATGTCTCTCGGGCATAGAAATGTGCTATAGCTCTTGGGTCGCACAGCACGACTATAGCCTGCCCGAGGACGCTCGGAATCATATACGCTACCCCATATTCCGTCGCCCAATGTTCATACATTCCACCAGTATCTTGAGATGCGAGGAGGTTGTGCAAAACGCCATATATGAAGCTGGTACGAGGAGGACCCCGCAGTTGAGTGGTCTTCAATCGCCAGCGAAGCGCCTTTGAGACTTTAACAAAAGCCCATAATGCAGCAATTGAACAAGCAACATTGAATGGGCCAATGAATGGGCCAACCGAGCGTACGGTTGTCCAGAGACTTAACGGAGAAGGCACAGGGATGTGGGGTATCTTCATCGTTGCTGTTTGATTCAAAGCGGCAGCTATTGGGAGACATATAGCCCGGGTTTGTGTGGCTGCTGGCAGCCATCAGGCAAACCTTCCAATACACACGTATAGGTCACTTTGATTCTATATGGTAGTACAGCGAGCAAGATTGAAATTGATATAATATGATCGGAGCTTCCTCTGCCGGGTCTGCCCGCAAAGTAACACGATGGCAAGGGGCTAAACGGTCGACCGTCCTTGGCCCAACTTGCCATGACCAATTTTTTGACGAAGAGTTCGCCAGGGCCCGACACTAATGGTGATGATGACGGGCAAATTATAACCGTTGACGACAGACACTATTCTAGGAAGAACGTGCAAATATTGTTCGCGTATGATCAAATTGCTGTATACTTGAGAAGGATACAGTGATTAAACGATGAGTGACATACAGATTTATAACTTTTTGAGATTATCGCAAGAGTTGTGGGACGTGTTATAGTGTTGGAATCCATTCAAGGTCGATCCGAGATACGATAAATCCCTAGCACTGCTCTACCGGTACCAGCTGGGCTGCCTGGGCAAACGCCAAATGCATGAAACAATAGGCACGGTATTTTTCGATGAGTAGTATTATAGTACTATGGGGAGATGTCATCATGTGACTGTATCGTTATTGATATCAATTCACGTGATCCTCCCACATCCTCTGTTTATGCATATTTGCACGGTGACACTACGCGACGCGTTCCTGGAATGACATTGCACCTTTCTTCGCCAGCCTAACTGCTAATATCACACAACCGAAAGTTATCGTCACACCTGCTATTCTCCGCCATCCTTGCAAGTCTATTGCTATTATCATATCCTAATTGCTGGTAATGCCTCATTCCACTGGCGTGCACGATACCCCGGACTTTCTAGCGGACGCGAGACACGAACCATACACAGATATGTCTCTATCTTCGGAAGAGCCAGATATTTTGATCTCTCCACCACGCTCTCCTAGTAGACTTGATTTCTTTCATGAAGAAGGCGGCGCTCTTGGTTACTCTGAATCAGATGCAGACGCAGAACTACCGATTTCAAGGGTCAAATGGGCACGCGGCTTCTTCCGTAGCGGCCCAGCACTCGCGAAGTTCACGGAAGAGGATGAGGACGATCCTCTCATCGGTATACCGATCCTCCAAATGAATGACCCCAGCATCAATTCCCAGACAGACTTCGAAGACGAGCCCCCATGCGTCCCATTCCCACCTTCACTTCAGACAGTCACCATGGAGCCTTTGGCACCAGAACCTGTTCGCCATGCTACACTTCCACAAGAAACAAAGGTGCAAATCCCAACTCCTGTGTCACGTATCCACACGCAGCGCCTGAACTATCCTCACCGCGGATTTTCACGGAGTGCTTTGTTACATCAAAAATCTTTCTGGACAGCGCGCCATGATGAATGGTTGGAATGGCAGGCCAAAGAAGTTAAACGACGAATGGACCACGGTATATGCGCACAAGGCCCTGGAAGCGCGTATGCTGGCATTACACCCGCAGAAACTCAGGAAGTCTCTGGGCTACCATCACAAATCCGCGTGCCTCTATCTGGCTTGGAGCGTGACTTTGAGGGGTACGCATCGAGAGACTTTGCCCAGGACTTGAACGCGCCGATCTACCCTCGCGTGGGCGATATCTCGGCGCTTCGTGATCCATACTCTGCCGATGTCGACCGGTGCTTCTTCAAGTTTCCGCTGTGGACCATTCATAAGACGCTCTATGTGTTCGACATGCATCAAAGGGCAGTCCATATTTCCGACCAGATACAAGGTTCTGCATCCTCAGGAAGCTTGCAGTCGTCGACTGGTTCAACGACATGCGATGATGAGGATGTGACCCTTGTTGCTGACGATGAACCACCCTTCGAGAAACAAACGCTCGACAACGGGTCTCATCAAGAATGTCTACCACCTGAAACTCCAAAAAGATCTCCGCCGTGTACATGGGAGGCTATTCGCGCCTGGGAGCTGAACTGGTACGCTCGCTGGGAGCTACTTATTGGTCTCGTACAGCGCGACCAAGCCCTCCGCCAGGCAGCGCCGCTTTCGCCGTCAATAACTCCCTCCCGATTCGTAGATGAAGACCCTTCACCGCCAAAAGGACTCCTGGAAGCGTTCACCCCAAAAGCTCCCGCACCGATAATCCACTTTGCTGGCGAAGATGGAGAGGGGGATAACGGAGACGAAGAAGACGATTATGGTACCTTGGTTGCAAACCCGATTTACAACGTTGACGAGACGTTCAAGGAGGGATATCGCCGTGCAGTAAATTTTTTCACTAAAGATCGAGGGCTGAAAAGAGAGCGTCGCCTGCGAACAGTGTCTGGATAGAAAGTTAAGGATGGTCGTTTGCACCGAAGTCAACGAGGATGGGAATGTTTTCACCTTATTTACAGTTCCCTAGTTTTGTCGATCCATGTTATAGCCCGATACCCTGATCGTAACGGCGCCGGCGCCAGCCTCCGACTCGCTTAGTATTCCTGGCATGTTTTGTGTCTATCGAATTAAACGCAAACTAGCCCTTTTATTTTATTGTGCGTTGGTTGGCAATGGTTGCTAATCCTATTTGATTCTACTGTCAATGCAAGATGTTCTTCAACTCGTACTACGGCCATCTATATCAACCAGTCTTAGCCAAGTGGTAAGCGTAACAGGACAGAAATCAGTTGCAGGTTCGAAACCCGCTCGATAGTGTTTTTCTTTTTACCACGCTTTGAACGTTGAATATTCACTCATGGATGGATCCTTCAAGGTGTGTCTTATGTAGCCATGGCCAACTGGCACCAGGACAGATTAGAAATCTGCTCTCTTGAGTGGTGCAGGTTCGAAAGCTGCCGACAAATGTCTTCATTCATTCATGGACAGTCCTTCAGAAGTTCACCTCAGCTTTGGCCAAAGTGATTAGCACAACAGAATCGAAATCTGTTTCTCTCGAACCGCGCAGGTTGGAAACCCGCCGATGAGAAGGTGATTGATTTTTCTCTCGGAACATACCTTGACATGACTCATGGATGGTTTTGTCGGAGGTTCATGTCAACTTCGTCGTAGCTGAAGTAGTTGCCACAACAGAATTAAAATCTGTTTCTCTTGAACTGCGCAGATTCGAAACCTGCCGACGACAAGGGTTTTTTTCTGTTGGAACACACCTTGACATTGACCTACAGATGGTATCCTCGGAGGCTAATCTTAACTGGCCCTAGCCGAGCGGTTACCGCAACTGAATAAAAATATGTTTCTCTTGCGCTGCGCAAGTTTGAAACCTGCCCATAACACTTTTTTCTCTCAGAACACACCTTGACATTCGCGCATGGACAGCTATGGACAGTTCCTCGAACGCTCGTCTCAACTTCGTCCTGACCAATGTGGTTGCCACAACGTAATCAAAATCTGTTTCTCTTGAACCTCGCAGGTTCGGAACCTGCCGATGAGACGGTTGATTACTTTTTCTCTCGAAACACACCTTGACATTGTTTAATGGATGGTTCCGTCGGAGATTCATCTCAACTTCGTCCTGGCCAAAGTGGTCGCCACAACAGAATCGAAATCTGCTTCCCTTGGACTGCGCAGGTTCGAAACCCGCCGATGTGAAGGTGATTGATTTTTTCTCTCGGAACATACCTTGACATGACTCATGGATGGTTTTGTCGGAGATTCATCTCAACTTCGTCCTGGCTGAAGTGGTTACCCCAGCAGAATTTAAATCTGTTTCTCTTGAACTGTGCAGATTCGAAACCTGTCAACGGCCAGAGTTTTTTCGGCTGGAACACACCTTGACATTGACTTATGGATGAGGTCCTCGGGAGCTAATATTACCTGGTCCTAGCCAAGCGGTTACTACAACAGAATAAAAATCTGTATCTCTCGCGCTGCGCAAGTTTGAAACCTGCCGATAACATTTTTTTCTCTCAGAACACACCTTGACATTGATTCATGGATGGTTTCGTCGGAGGTTCATCTCAACTTCGTCCTGGCCAAAGTGGTCGCCACAACAGAATCGAAATCTGTTTTCTCTTGGACTGCGCAGGTTCGAAACCTGCCGACGAGACGGTTAATTTCTTTTTCTCTCGGAACACATCTTGACATCGACTCATGGATGATTTCGTCGAGGATCATCTCATCTTCGTCCTGGCTGAAGTGGTTGCCCCAGCAGAATTTAAATCTGTTTCTCTTGAACTGCGCAGATTCGAAACCTGCCAACGACAGGGTTTTTTTCTATTGGAACACGCATTGACATTCACTCATGGACAGTTCCTCGCACGCTCATCTCAACTTCGTCCTGACCAAAGTGGTTGCCACAACGGAATCAAAATCTGTTTCTCTTGGCCCGCGCGGATTCGAAACCTGCCGACGATAAGGTTTTTATTCCATCGGAACACACCTCATCCTTCATCCATGGATGATTTCATCAGAGGTTCATCCAACTGGTCATAGCCAAGTGGGTTACCGGAGTCAAAATCTGTTTCTCTTGGAGTTGGTTCAAAACCTGCTGACAACATTTTTGCAGTGTATAGATCCTCGGAGGTCCATCTTAACTTAGGAGGCCTAGTCATTGCGCCGAAACCTCATTTTTATGTGAGTCTGTTCCATGATGAAAAGGAATTTACCTTCACGCCTTATGGGGGTCATCTTAGAAACATAAGATATATCCCGTATGTGCCGACCTAGATTCTCGACAGGCTGACTAAAACTCTTGGAATTCATCGCCAAACAAAAAAGGGCCGGAGGCCAGGAGAATGCACACAAGCTAAGGACAGAGTGAGTCTGACCGTCAGGGAAATGATGCAAACCTTGCCCCTCCCACCTTTAGCTTTCAAGTCATCCTCGCTCACATTTGAAGAGTTAACGGCCGAAGGAGTGTCCATTGATACGCGGGCCTACTATGATAGTCTCTTCTAAATTCTAATTAAACAATAATTGTGTAGTTAGCATTGGGTAACCGGTAACCTACAGGGAACTTGTCAAAGTGAGGACAATAGACGAATGTGTACATGTAAGCTGATTGATACCAAGGTGAAGAAGGAAATGTAGTCCTTTGTCCTGATCTACACAAGAATTGATGAGGGGTGTACGTGATTGTCACTGATCTTGGGGTATCCTTTAATCGACTGATAACGAGCGACGAAGTTGGTCGATTCGGATGGGTATATGCCTTGTTACAATGTGTTACTTCCTCCATCCCTGTTCCTCCCCCTCTGATTCAGAAGTGTTTGAATGTGACCGCGACGAGAAATGAGAGCGTCTGCGAGGGTTCCCGGACCAGGAGGGGTTATGGATCATGTGCCATTCGTGTGATTTGCGCTGCCTGCGGCTCTGTACAATTTCTGGTGCCGCGGCTCGCAAGGCACTCAATTCCTCATGCGACAACTTTGACAGAGGCGATGATGCTAATAGTAGCAAGTCTGAGGGCGTGTAGATTGGCACTGCATGACGTGGTAAACATTAAGTATTTGCAACTGAAGGGGTGAGGATTTTATACTCACAACTATCATGAGGCAACGGTAATGATGAGTTCGCTGGTGAAGAAACCCCTGATGAACTTGAACTCGGTGAAGATGCCCGTCGGTGAACGGGTATGTAGAGTCCGGAAGATGACGACATCACTAACGCGACGAGGGAGGCGGGTTGCTAGAGCAGACTTGGTACTAGATGAGGACGCGGAAGATGATGTTGATCAAGTCCTGACTTGAACAAGGTCTTATATATACACACAGGAGCATCCTGCGGACCTGCCCATGCATGGGCCCGAGGCTCGGCAGTTGGTTATTGTGTGACATTACTGTTGTCGTGCCGTGAAGTGGCAGTGATGACTCATCCACTTGGACCGCAGCGTCAGCTATTTGGGACCATCTGGAATGTCGTGGAATGTCGTACAAAGTGGCGAGAAAATACGCTCAAATTATCTCGAATGGTCTCAGTCATGCATAGGCTTATTGCACAATATTGGTCATCGTCGTTCAGTGAGCCCGTGTGATTTCTAATTATTAATTGCCGATTTGACAACTCCAATAGCCCAACTTCCCGTATTTGTAAATCACTAGGAACTCTGTTAGAACCATGTAAGCACCACAGGATGCCAGCACTTCAGGTGCACTGGGCAGCTTTGGGGCAGCTTGGCATGTGGAAATTAAGATGATCTTCAATGCTGCGGCATGAAGAGGCCTGCGGCGGCTAGCGTGGCAGTGCCAGAGAATATCCTGAAAGCATCCATATGAGTATTCGTTTGATAGTTACCTGGTTAGAAAAACCCAGAATGCCGCAGTCACGGTGGAGAGCTTTAAAACGTATCGAACGTTCAATGCAACCTTGCTTTTGTACTTCGAGTGATGAAACATAGATTTCGCTGCAGTATATATCTATGACTAAAGGTCTTCGTATGCGAGCGGATATATGCGACATTCTTGTCCGCCATCTATATTTATCAGAACTCCGAGTCAATCAGTCAAATTTCTTCTGAAGCCTATCTACACATCCGTAGCCTGATCTAATTCCCTGGTTTGATAGCGACACCAAAGTCTAACGCAAATCTGCCCATAGCATCGGAGATCGATCGATCATTAGTTAGCTTATCTCGTGGGGAATATATACTTTCACCCCAACAGTCCCCGGGTTCTTTTGGAATAGTCGTCCAACCAGAACGACATCGGCTTGACCTTTGTCAAGGATCTGTTGGGCGGCCTTGCCATCGGTGATTGAGCCGACAGCCCCAACAACAAGGTTGTCCCCAACAGCTTGTTTGACTGCTGTGTGAACGGTGCCTGGTAAGCTGGGCTGGCTTTGATGATGGCTTTTGGGTGACTAGCACCGCTGGAGACATCGAGAAAGTCAACTCCATCTTGCTCAGAATACCAGTAAGTTCGGTATCTTCGACACGCCATGATGGTTTGTTGGAAGCGCTTGTTTGAGCTATTCAGTTGCAGAAACCCTACGAAGTATCAATCAGTTTAAGCAAGGACATCTCATGGACTCGAAAATAATGCCTCAAAAAAGAGTGGCATATCTTGAGGCATGGAATCATAGATGGCATTCATGACCTCGAGAATTAAACGAATGCGGTTCTCAAAGCTTCCACCGTATTCGTCTGTGCGCGTGTTGCTGATGGGACTCAAGAAAGAGAACAGCAGATAGCCGTGTATGTTGTGAATTTCAATGACGTCAATGCCAGCTTTCAACGCTCTCTTCGTAACTTCCACAAATGCGACGACGACCGCCTTGATCTGTGTCTTCGATAGCTCCTTAGGCACCGCGAAGGCGTCATCGAAAGAGGGCCCCATACACTGTCTAGCCATCTGCCTGTGTTCTTAGTTGCTGCAAGACTCGTATTTAACCACGGCACAACGGTGGGTGCTTTCCGGCCGGTGTGGGCAACTTGAATACCGATCTTTTGGTTTTATGAATTGACAAACTCAACTATCTTGCGGAGGGGCTCTGCGTCATCAGGAAGTGATGCGACCCTTTGGGACGACCGCTGTGGCTTCAATCATAGAAAGACTAGTCCCCGCGTGAAGATCCCGTCACTGAATACCACGAGCATTTCTCTAGTGCTCGATATCATAAACTTACGGTGCGCCATATGCCAGGACGTGAGATGACCGTTGTCTGCAGAATATTGAACAGTGGAGATAGCTGCGTGAAATTGGGATGAGCCATCAGGGGAGCCCATCGTCGCGTTAACGATCAATATGACGACTGACGAAGATACAGTTGTGGAATGTCGCCCCCCTCCGACCTTGATGGGCCGGAATACCTTTGGTATAGGAGTTCCATCGAGCTAGGGGTCAAATGCTTTGCGTAGCGGTAAAAGTATGGAATGGCGGGTACATGCTTGTGTGCTGAAGACTGGATGTCAAGGAGTAAGTAAATAATTAAGTGTGTACGGGATGCCTTCCGTATCTTCCAGGCATTATATCCACTGGCACCCACCTGGTATTATCTCAGGTTGATCTCACTGAATGATTCGGCGTGAGATACAATGGCAAGAAGCTTGTTGATGATAACGAAGTTTCAATAAAAACAAATATGATGACGTGGAGGCTACAAATACAAAAAAAATAACCTGTGTTTGCTACATAAAAACGGGAGATCAAACTAGAAAGGAACACTGCATACCACGTACATCACTCCCATCCTTTCGATTACGTTCCTTTCAACCAGTTCGCAAGCATAAACCCTGGACACTGGGAAGGTGACACTCCGCAAAGGAGTTCAAGAAACAAAAAATTGATAAGAACCAGCCCAAGAGTAGTCTGAATCGAGTTTCGCAATCCACGAAGGATACGCGAGCCACGAAGTGAACTCAAGGACAAACCAGTGCCTAGTGTATATCCCTCATACGCAAAGAGAGCAACAGCATGTTGTGTAGTCTCCAGCCGTGAGTGTTTATTCACGAAGCGCAGCGGATACGCTGGAAGCGAGCGGATACGCTCATCGGTAGGGTAGGCACCATGGGAGGATACCTCGACTGCAGTCTGTATGTGCACCAGGACACAGGAGTAATCCTGAGGGTGACAAAAGAACATCTAGTGAATTAGATGGGAATAATGTACCGCGACAAAAGCCCGGGGACCTGAGTATCGCGATTGATTTCTCCATGTCCCTGAGCGCCATTGACGGGCGCACGCGCGATAGGACTGCTACACGATAGACACAAGTTTGCCCAATCCCCGCAACGCTTTCAAAGCTTTCATTCTCGCCCTCCTCTGCTGGAACAGGATCTTGGGATATGAAAATGAAGCTGCTTTTCTGGTACGTCGCGCAGCTGATTACAGCCAGACTCCGCTAGAGCCAATCGAGGGGGATTGAAATGCTCAGACCTTAGCCCGCTCATAGATGTGGATGCATGGAGCAACCTGTACGTGATGAGTATTCGTGGCCTTCGAGCTGGTTGAAGAACAGAATAGTTTTGAAGTCCGCATGTCTTTATATAACGTTATATTCAAACTCAGCGCTTAACGCAGAGTCTAAGCGCTCTAAGTACGAGAGCACTTCAAGTTTGCACCCAAGAGCCAAAATTTAAAACGCAGTAGGTACGGGTACAGGTTACTCATTGCAGCATGGAGGCTTTTTGATACATTTGTCACAACTGGTGGGAGGCAACGCTTGCCGATACATGCTGAATTACTCAGATTGTCCGACGATAAACGCTCTTCCTGGAGTACATGCATGGCCGCACTTGGGAGATCGCTGTTGCTGTTTACCTACAATACCTTCACTTCCACTCCAGAGTCCATGGACACAGAAGCGTTGAAGCCAATGACAGCCATCTTTGCACACATTTATAAGGGACCACCCAACATTGTGGTAGCATGCCAACACCTGCCAACTAACTCATACGCAGCAACTCCCATCGGATATGCCGCTGTTCGCCTTTACCTCTATTACTGCACTATGAGTCACAGCATCAAATATTATTCACACTTAGACTGCCAAGCATGCAGCCACATCCGGATTTTCAAAATCAATGAGGGTGCGTCACCTGGCTGTGCAAATTGATGCAACGCTGACGAGTATCCGTATCGGTCTGTGTGATACAGTGCATCTCACATTGATTTTGTCAATTAAAACAGTTCGTGACCAACCCTATTCCTTTGCATGCTTGTGACGTGTAGCCTACACAATTATCGACGAAGGGCACGCAGCGGTGCGTGATGCAAGGACTTGGCATGAGGTAAGGGGTGCATTAATCATGTTTCAGGCTATCTCGGTAAGATCATGATAACGGTTATATCTAGCACGAATGGTATCATTCGTCATACTTGCGTCCAATTCGCTACTCACTGATATCAAATCCGAATCCTTCAATGACTCTAGTCTCAAATAATCCCAGTTGGTGGTCGGTAATCAAATTGGTATCATGATTACAGCTATCTTTTTGGTTTGTGGAGAGTAGATGTTCACCTGCTTCGATCTATTTCTGACTGTGATTTCACATTTGTATCCTCTACTGCGTTGACATACGATTGGGGTGAGCAAGGTAGTACTTACGGAGAGGATTATCGATGTCAGTATGGTATTCTCCAAGCACTGACATTCGGACAAGAGGTAGAGGGGTTTAAACTGTTACCAGAGCAGACTCACCATGAATGGTTTTACAGTTGGACCTGGTCTGGGTAAACGGAGTGCCATATCAGAAGCACGACAGGAAGAATAACATATTTGATTCAGGGAAAAGGTAACGCCGGACCTTCATGAGTGTTCTGTATATCGGCATAAGTGGTCTATATCATGGGCGCAGTTGACAAATTTCACTTAATTTTAAGATATAGGTGCGTTATGCTGGAATCCTATCCTCTGTGTATGTTTTCACGGCTAAGACGTTGGCACTGTGCTAATAACCCATCTCTCATCATTAGCATCAGCATGCTGTGTAAGTCCCCTGCATGCACCTGACCAGCGGCAGGCAGTAAGTTTCCCCGGAGTATTGCTGACAGACTTCGTGAGCATTCTGTACCAAATATTGCCTGCCGTTTTCGTCCAACTAATTACATCATTCCGGAGCGGCAGTGAAGTTGTTGACCAACTTATTATAAGTTTAATATAACGACCAAAACAGCTGTGAGTTTACTTGAAGAGCTTACTTATGAGGCCCATCAATCACTGTGGCTCACCCAATATGCACAGTTGTGAATGCCTTTCTTCGCGTTTGGCATATTGGGTGGTGGGCCGCTCAGCCACAGTACGGCCCTAATCATTAATGATGCTGACTTCGACTGACATGTCATAGTTATCACGATTACTCGGCCATGTATCAGCAATCAAAATTCTCATCTTTCTTGCTGTAACCTTGCTGGCTGTCATCACTGCCTGTGTAGTTCTTGTCGTAATGATAAACAATCATGTTTCAGTCGGTAAGCTTCAATTCTGCTGAATGACTTGAAGGTACCATGCTCACCCGGGGACGAATGCCAGAGGAAGTTGTCTTCTTCGGTACCCATCCAAGTCAATGTGTTTACACCTTTGAGCAACTACTGATGGTCGACTTTTAGGTACTCACCACTGCATGGGATCGCCTTGTGTCTGGTAGTTTGGATTATAATCAGACACTTCCGGAAACTGCAGCAACCATCAACAGGATGAACAAAGGACAGTCTCACGGTGTTAATAGAATCTCACATGTTTTACTTTGCAGTGTAAGTTCGTAATACATGATTATCTTTTACGCTGATCTTCTATGCGTTCTAGTTGTGTTATTCTTTTTTGCTTGCGCCTCGGTCATCTCTAAATCTGTCGGTACGCCGATCTGTGACCGAGTAATTTGTATCTGGCCATTCAAATCATTTCTGTAGGGCTCGCATTCCTCGGGATCAGAGATTTACAAGGGCATTCTTCGAGCCTCGCTCGCGGATATTTGTGCTAGGACCCCGTCTCATTCTTAGCGTTCGAGGATACTACGCTAAGCGTGTGGTTAACTCCGCCACAGCGACTACTATCATTACAATCATACTCCAGGAGCGAATACGTATTTCAACTGACAGCGGCGTGTAGCATGGGAGAAGCTGGAACATGACCATTTGTTTCGAATTCCGTCATGGTACCGGTTTGATGTTACGACGCAGATTTGAAAGAGCAAAATTACGCAACGGAAGCAGAGTCGACGGTTAGATTGTGTGAAAATATGGTCGTCCGCAACCATTCATGAAACCATCTTCGAAGGACAAATGAGGTTCAAACTATACATCAGGAACATCGTGCCTTTATCCACCAGCGCGGTACGGAAGTCCGCTCGAAGCTCGGGGAGAGATCTAGGCGCAAAGTATGTTGGCATATACGACATAAGTGCATCTAGGTGTCAACAAAGGTGAGACATTATCGGGTCACTCGGCGGGTAAAGGCGCAAACACTGAACTATCATTAATACGCTGGATCAAGTATTACGGCTGACCAGGGCTAACAAAGTCAGGCGCCTGGATCAACTATTTTCGCTAGTGCGGGGAACAACTCACCTGACTGCTTGTAATTATCTATGAAATTCAAAATCCAGATATGCCAAGAACAGAGAAGTCAGTCAGCATCCCCATATAAACGCAGCGCCTCTTTGATCACGAAACAATGAGAGCGTGGACATCGGCGGAGACTAGATCGATTCCCTATTTTGAGTGAAGGAGCTGCGCCTGCTACACTCAAAGAGTACTCGGTGCTTGTGAATATTCTGAGTGACTGCGGATGACCGTTAATTTGGCTAACATTTCAGTGGCTAAGTCGCCGTTGCAACAAAAAATTAACCCCTCTAAGCTGGCACTCAGTCGTGGAAGAGCCGAGTATGTTGAAGACCAATGGATGTCGTCCTGTAGCCTGTATTGCGGACCCTAGAAGGGGAAATTAAGTCTACATCAAGTCTATGATAGAAGTCCGAATGCCGAACTTAGATCATGATAAGTAAATGCATTCACAAGTCTTGCACAATGGGTCTGATTGCGAACTATCGCACGTACAGGGTTGGCTAGTAATCACGAATTGGGAACATTGAATACCAAACCTCCCTTCGTCTGGACAACAAACCTATTCTGGGCCAAGTATGACATGTGGAAAATCACAACGAAGGCAGGACGAAGACCAACAGAACATCATGCGTAGGAAATCAATACGCGCGTTATTGTTATCGTGCGGAGTAAGACAAGGTTTGAATAAGCGGTGGGAGCATGAAGTTGCGGAGCGCCAAAGAGGATAATTCTTGATTCGCCGAGGTAGGTCAGGACAATAAATTATTACCCGCCCATTTTGTTCTGTGCAAGCAATGTCCTTGCCGCTGTTGAAAAACTGCGACATCATTGGAATGAAATTTTGAGTAATGCTGCTTACCAGTAGTAGTGGAACTTGAAGGGGAAGCCAAAGGACAGAGAAAGAACATGAGGATATTTTGAGAGCACAACTCCTTTTGGGATGGCTATAAAGCGATACTTACACTTAACTGAGTGCTGATTAACGAGAAGGACCGAGAAAGTCTTGCATAGTTAATCCTGTAACAATAAGGGCAATAAACCAGAAATTATAAAGAGGTTTAGATCACCGGCTTGTATGGCAAAGCATAAGAAAGCAGTGTGGGAGGTTGCAACGTTTGAGCGGAGTCCAGGATGTTTGGGTCGGAGAAAAAGACAGAAATCATGCGTGCGCTGTCAAACTCAACTTCGATTGATAATTATGGCCAACGAATTCGCAGTTATCGCTCTTTTCATACGAAGGTCTGCTCATCGTAGAGCTCGACATCATGAAGTTTCGGACGATGAAAGGAAACGCGCGCGGCGTCACTTAAAGTCACGTTTTCGAATTTTATTTCAAGTCCCACGTTGATTTTCTCCCAGTTGTGCCTTCACTCCATCATTTATACTTAAAAAACTACCTTTTTCTTCGTCAGACTCTTCAAGACCTTTGAGATATCAATTTTGGTATCAAACCGATATCGTCAAATCAAATAATTTAAAGCACCGGAGCGTAGGAGACGTGTTCTGAGCGGCGACGATCGGAAAACCAAGCAATTTCGAGCGGAGTGAGCAACCACTTTCTTCCCTTTCCTTCCTTCCATCTGTCTCCTCTACTGGAGCCTATTATCTGTCTGCTTCACAAAATACCGGCTCGATCAAAAACTCAACATGGTTCCCGTTCTGCAGGTCCGTGACTATTCGCTCGCCCATAGAGAACACATTTCTGTGAGGAGCGCTGGGCAAAATTCTTGTCCCCAATGGCAAGCGATCAAGCCAAGAACGCTGGCGCTGTGGCACAGGAACATCACATGCCACCATACCAAGCATACGGTACCTACTCTCCACCTTTCCCGGTCTACTATGATCCGAGCCATCCTGAACCAAACGGCGCGCCACATCCAGCACCCCCGTACATCTATCATTATCCGCCTCCAGGGATGATGTACCCTTATCCTCCTCCTGGTAGGTCTAGTTTCGCGGCGCCGTTCTCTGTTGTTCTCTCTTACGTTAGAGGCTCGTAGGATTTCCGCCTTACGCACCCCCTCCCCAAACTAACTTTCAGCGCGTTAAGCGTAAGCAAGTCAAGATGGCGGTACGTTGACGTACATTTTTACGCCCATTTTCTAAATTAATTATGATATTATGTCAGTGTACTAACTGCGCGAATGCCTGCAAGCGGTGTGATGAGCATCGTCCATGTGAACGTTGCGTCAAATATGGTATCCCAGAAACGTGCGTTGATGGTGTGCGGAAGGAGCGACAGAAGGGAATAAAGCGGGGTCCCTACAAGCGCAAAAACAAGTCCGGCGGCAGCGACACTGCTACCTCACCTACTCATAATGCCACTTTCGAGAGTACGTTATAAAACCATCAATCTGCATTTTTTTTCCTCATCGGCAGGATTGACAGCTTTCTCGGCCACCCCAACTGAAGCAAACGGAGACTCAGCTTGGCAGCCGTCGAACGGTGTAGCACCAGGTTCTGCGACCGCAACTCCTGCACCTTCCTCGATACCATCCTTTCCTCCTCCACCACCAGAAGGGGGATATTATCCTCCCCCATATTTCTATCCTCCCCCTCCTGGTTTTGTACCACCCCCTGAGGGTCAGGTGCCCGTGGAAGGGTCCCCAAATTCTGGCGGACCTCCTCCGATGATGCCTTACTATATGCCTCCTCCTGGATACTATGGACCACCATATTACGGCCCTCCTGGCGTGCCGCCGCCCACCATGGATCCAGCTCAGGCTGAGCTTCAAAGGACATCTGGCCCGCCTGTAGATCATGATCCCGACGTTGAAGAAATCCCGCCGCCTGCTCCCAAGACAAATTCGAAGAAGAGATCAAGAGTGGGAAAAGAGGGGCAGCCGAAGGCAAAGAAGACTAAGGTTGCTGCTGTTGTGCAAGAGTCTTCAACTTCCAGTGGAACGACGGGAGGGAGCGACCAGGCTTCAGAACCTGGACATGGCAGCCCAGCTGAGATTGGTGATACATGAATATCACTGGATCTCCTCTTACTGCACACAGTTCCCTGCTTTCGCACCGCTATTATCTCTTTTTTTCTTTTTTTTGTGATCTCTGCTTTCTCGTTGTTCAGTTTCAAATGCAAGTTCGATGTGATTCTGTTTTGCCTCCTACGTACTTCTGAAAACTTTCAGACACTCCGACGCTCTTTGACCACCAACAAGGTCTCGATGAGGATGATAACATGTGGAGAGGATGTAGATTGTGTGACGGGATCCTGTTTATGGTCAAAAAGCCGCCGGAGGCAAAGTATGCTGTCATTCTCGAACACCCCGTACGTTAATGATTTGTTACTCCCACAGTCAAAAATTTTGGACGTCCCTGGATTTTCTATTTTTTTTTCTTTCTTTTTGCCCTTTGGAATTACGGTTTCTGCTTCTTGTACGTTCATGACCTATCGATCATCCTATGCTCCCCGCCTTCCTGCTTTCACTTAATATATGATTGGGTGGTATTTATTATTGTAGGATATGTTGAACGTTGAAGCAACATGATGGTGACGGTCGTCCGTGGTTACCGAAGTTGATTTTCAAAAGTGATAGTCAAATACCATAGGAATTGCAATTCAGACATAATAATTACCTTGCTCGCCTCGGCAACGTTTCATGCACATCCAAAATTCAAGGGTTCATCGCAACGTGATGGCACCGCCACAACACACAAGTCGACATTCACAGACTCACGTTCCTCGACTCGTTAGTCTGCGCAAATAGGTTGGGTGACAAGGCCTTCAAATAAAAAATCGGGCGCCAAAATACAAGAAAGCGGAAAAACATCAGACAAAGAAAAAGCGCAGGCAAAATTTCTTCCCCAACGAATGAACAGGTGACCGGCTATGTCCGGGCGTTTGTTTATTTCAGAAGGTGTTGCCAAACAATCGCTTAAATTTTGAGTGACTTCAAAACTCGAAAACTGGTTGTGTCCGTCTAAGCTTCCTCTTCAGCATCTTCTGTACTTTGCCTTTCTCGCGCAATATGTCTGTTCTCCGTGCCCTTCGTCAGGTTACTGCATCCTCATCAGCGGGCTGTTGCTCGTCCTGTGGCTCGCTTCGGCTCCCTGCGCCTTGCGACTGTGCAAGCTTGCTCCTCGGGCTTCCATGACTGCTGCGAGAGCTTTCTCGGCATCTGTATGTCGTTTTTCGGAGGGTTCGAGTGAGCTTGGTCAGTTTTTTCGATGAACCAGTACTAACACTTGTTTGGTACCGACAGCTGACGTCGTCCTCTCACAAAAACTTGCCGAGGAACTCAAGTATGAGAAAGAGGCTGTCGCTGACGCGCCAGAAGAGCCTGAGTTCTTGAAGACATTCAAGGAGGAGGGTATCTGGGAGGTATGTGTTATGCAGAGCAGATCATAGGCTTGTTCCTCAGACCTCGCGCACAGATCCAGGACGTCGCCGGTAACGATGAGGTCACTCTCGTACGGAAATTTGGCAATGAGACGTAGGTGAAAAATTATACCGTTTGGCATGTACTGATATGTTTTTAGTATTCGTATGATGTTCTCCATTGCCGATATTCAAAATGCTGAGGAAGAGCCGGAATACGAGCAGGAAGCAGCTGAAGGTGGAGAGGAGCAGCCTCTCCACTCGTACCCCATCCGCTCTTCATTCTCCATCACAAAGGTATGGCCTCACGTGAAACATTCTTGTGCTTGTACTTATATTGGGTGTAGGCTAATGGCAAGGGGTCCATCAACATTGACACTATGTGCCAAGAGGGCGCGTTCATCATTGACAACATGTCCTACTATCGTGATGCACAGCTTGGCACCGAGCTTACTGCCGAGGCCGACTGGAAACGCCGTGGTTTGTACATCGGTCCTCAATTTGATACTCTCGACGTTTCCGTCCAGGAAGAAATTGAGAAGTGGCTACAGGAGAGGGGTATTAATGAGAACCTTGCCATGTTCGTTCCTGAATATTCTGAATACAAAGAGCAGAAGGTTAGTGGTCGTCTGCCTGTCCATTTTTTGCAGGACCCTTATCAGCTTTCCTTCACAGGAATACGTGAGGTGGTTGGAAAATGTGAAGAACTTCGTGGATGCATAGGCATGTAGTTCTTGCTCCCACTGCTTTTATGACCCCCCAAAAGCCATCCCTGTCATCTGCATGACCTTGCACGCATCTTTACACGTACAACCATACATTTATTAGCTGTTGTCTCCCCCCTCAGTCCCTCACTAGCATCTAATGTTACTCAATGCTAATTGCTCTTGCTTATAAAAGTCTATTGCCGACATGTTGTCTTCAAGTCTCAGCGAGATCAATTATATTCATTTCTACATACCAAGTGGTCCACTAACATCAGAGTTATGTTTCTAGCAGTGATTGTCAAATCGTGTGACTGTATAGGCCGTTCTATCACTACGAAGTGGGCTCGGAGCGCCGAGGCAATTCAAGCATGTTTCTCGCCACTTGTACGACCTTCCAGACTTTCAAATGGACCTTCACAGATCGCTTACGTGGCGATCTAACTCAAAGTGGATGACCCATTCCCTCGCCACATCATTAATGCCGTCATCTTCCAGACTCTATGATACATCCCCGTATACCGACGGGAACCTTCAACAAATTCGCCGAGCTCAACGGAGGTCTCGTCACCAACGTACTCATCACCATTACCTCATGATACTCGTGAGCATCATGCCCTAGCCTTTAACCATTGAGTTACAAATGTTTGCCGCGTCATGCAGGGCCCATCTACACGCCTTCAGACATGCTACTATCAGTATCATCGCCTCTGTCGAAGTTGTCGCGTGAGGAATTTGGTGCCTTGCGAGCTGCAGAGCCAGAAGCAGCGCAAATCACACGGAATGGAATATGAGCTTTGGCCCGTACTGGCCCAGGAACCCTCGTAGACGCTCTCAATTCCCCTTGCGGTCGCATTCGAGCATTTCTGAATCTGAAAGGGAGGAACACGGATAGATGAAGTAACACGTAGCAACACACATACCTGTCCGAGTCGACCGACTTCATCGCTCGTTATGAATCAAGGATACCCCAAGATTTATGACAACCACTTACACCCTCCAGTTTGTATTTTGTAAATGGACACGTCGTAGTCCCGTACTGACAGCAAATGTATCGTATTCCACCCGGATGGAACTCTTTCAATTCAGCAGGCAGTTCCCTCTAGGCAAACCACAGAAGGAAGACAGTCCTTATTGTGCTACAGATCATGTTGCATGGATCTAATGTTTTGAGCCGACCCCCAGAGTCCTTCGGAGGTGCATATCTGAGAAAGACCATCGATTTCTTCGCAGCAGAGATGGCCTGGGGATGTGGAAGCAAAATGGATGGTCTACTCCGAATGATTCGATCCTGAGAGACCTCAGATGAACGAAACTAATAGCAAGAAATGCCTAATAGTTATCCATTACAAAATAAGTAAATGAAGGATAGAAAAAATGTGCATAGCGGTGAGTAGCCCTTCTCAAAGTCAAACAAACATGTATAAATGAAAAATAAGCCTACACCTTGATCTGAATCAATCCCTTCAACCACCTCGCCCACTCACCAACATCTGCAGCACGTGTGTAACCAATGCTGGCTACTGCTAGGCTCACCACCAGGAGGAGCCATTTGGAGTTGCGCCTCCGTTCGATCAATCCCTTAAGGGGGCTTGTTCAATAAGCCAAGCTCGTAAGTACTAGATATTGCGAATACGTACGTGGCCATTTGCCGACATGCTGGGACGGGGTGGGAGTTTGACACCGAGACGTTTGAGAGAAGCTATTTTCCCGGACTGGAACTTATGGTAAGGGGAGTGCTGCGAGGTACAAATCATCAAAACTTACAGTGTAAGGAGGAAACCTTGCTCCTAGGATATTGTCAATCCTGTAATATGTCACATGTGAGCAAGCGGACTAAATGAAAAGCAAAGAACGAACCATCCGGGGGAGTCAAGAGAGGCACGTAGGTGCGTGAACATGTCGAAAGTGAAACCACGTGTGTGATACCCAGCTAGAAGATGCAATCAGTGATGACTTGCTTGAGAGAAGGATGGACTGACATCCGCTGGGGCCAATACCGCCGAATGGCAATCCATCAGCTAAGGCACTATCAGTCGGTTATCCTCATTGGGAACATTGTAAAACGTACTGGCGCAGTGTACCATCACATCATTGGCGACGGCTGAACCACTCTGAGTATTGTCAAACACTGACCAAGAATGTCAACGACGATAGCTTGATAGACGATCGAAAATAAAACGCACCCTTGTTCTTGAAGGCCGCATCGGACGAGAAACAGTACAAAGCGAGCGGATGGTCGCTGACAGAATTTAGTCTGATATTAACATGTAAATAGAAGGTTAACTCACTGAGCATTGATGTATGCAATTGCTTCATTGACATCATCCACGGGCATAATAGGCAAGATCGGCCCGAATAACTCACTTCACAATCAGTCAGACGTGCTTGAAAATACTCCAACAGACAGATGTATACGCACTCGCTCATTAAGGAATCTCCATCTTTGACACCCTTGACCACCGTAGGGGCTATAAATTTGCGCGACTCATCGGTCTGCCCGCCAAAGGCGATGGTGCCGGAAGTGTTGTCGAGCAGATTCTTAAGACGATGGAAGTGCTCAAGGTTAATGATACGAGAGAGATCCGGAGTGGTGGTAGCGCCAGAAGGATAGAATTCGTCGTGTCTGCGGACGTGGTACGATACAGATTGAGCATAATGTATATAAGGTTGTGATGAGGTACGCACGCATCTTTGAGGGCCTTTACGAACGCGTCTTCGGAAGAGCGCGGGACGAGGACGTAGTCTGGTGCGACGCAGGTCTGACCTGCATTAGCGCACTTGCCCCACATAATACGGCGTGCAGCAATCTTGAAGTCACATCTAGCATCGATGACAACGGGGGACTTCCCTCCGAGCTAGGAAGACATTGGTACCAGTACATCCCACTGAAAGTGTGGATTTACCTCGAGACTGATAGGTGAAAGAGTCTTCGCAGCAGCTACACCTATAATCTTTCCTACACGTCCGCTCCCGGTGTACAGGACTAGTCGTCTCGCATCATAATTTCGACAACAAAAAAAGTAAATTGCACATACCGTGGCCCCATGGGTATTCCATGAGCTGTATGACATGATGAGCACCCAGTCCATACATGACAGAAGTGAATAACACACCTTGCTGGTCTCAGGAACAGCACCTAACACGACTCTAATGACATCATTGTCCAGATACTTTGGAATGAGTTCCGCGATGAGGCCGCTTATAGCGGGGCACAATTCAGACGGTTTGAGAACGACACAATTGCCAGCAGCAATTGCTCCAATCTTGGTAGGGAAACGATGAACTGCGGGCCCGATACAAGACAAAAAGGAACATACGATAGGTCCAAGAGAAAGCCATATAGGATAGTTGAATGGGCTGATGGACAACACGACACCCTTTGGTTCCTTGCGAATAACTGGGCGGAAAGCAGCAAATTTGATGTTGAAAGGTGCTTTTTCGGTTCGAGCCCACTTGTCCACCCGGTCATAAGCGACCTTACAGTCACTAATAGTTGAGTCAAGCTCGAGGCTGAAACGCAGGTAAGTGAGTTTCATACACGGTAACCAAAACAGTGCTTACAATGAAGCTTCTAGCGGAGGTCTCCCAAGGTCAATGGCAAGGGCCTCCTTGAAACGTTCAAGGTTGTCCTGCAGAAGGTAAGCCAATTGCAGGATCTGAACCTTTCTGAATGCAATGGGTTTAGTTTTGCCTGACCGAAAGGTCTTGTTGAGAGTGGAGTAAATCTAGAGCGCGTTCTGTGAGCTACAAAACAGTAATTTGGTTTGCAAGCCTCGCACCTCGTCGATTTCTTCGAACGTCGTGAATTTTAATTCAGGTGCCATGCTTGATGTGATGGCTGTACACCAGGAGTGAACACGTTCTATAGTTACGTTGTCATTAGCATATACACAATATAGAGTCCCAGATCGAGGCTTTGCAACGTGTTACGAATGGTTTAGGAACAGACACAAATCTATCCACGTATGACACCAGTTCCACCCCGCCAATCACTGTTCAGAAGGACTTACAGTCTCTCACACAAATAATATTGAGTCCCCAAGGATCTACGGCTTTTCTGCGATTCGAACAGGAAAATATCTGAGGCTATATAATGGGAGGTGACCGCAATAAGCGAAAAGGAACGAAAAGAATCAGCTGGGAGTACTAGTGCTTTGACTCTGAGTTATGATGGGAAATAATATTTTGTCCCGGCACAACCGGCTACTACGTTGCAAAACACGGTCATCGTTGTGGGCATACCTATTTTGTAAGTCTGCCAGTAGAACTGGCGGAACTTGGCAGAAGAACCATGCCATATATTCCACCAGTAGTGACTGTGTGGCAGGCGGCAGAATTAATTGCAACACTCGAAGTACTTGTGCTACTGTGAGACCACTATATGGCGAGTCCCAGTACTTGCAAATATTATTGTAGTCCGTGGTCATTCTATCAATACTATTGCTCCCGACACTAATCCCTCGTCAACGCGCAGTCGCCGCAGTTTCGCAAACTCCAATGCTTTCCCTTCTAATGCTTCCGTCCCATTCCAGCCCATTTCACATCCCAAGCCAAATTCTCCGTGCATCGTTCTGTCCCCATATGAGATTCATTTATAAATACTATCGTTCCGGGTGTTTTGAAAACCTGCGATCATCGACCCAGGTTCACTGAAGGAGTAAGTTAAAGGAACGACCATCTTCATTGGTCTGTCTACGTAGGGGAGACTAGTAGATATGCGCTGCTCTGCCAACTTGGCACAGGCTCTAGTTCAGGTTCCTATAACCCCTAGTACCTAGGTGCCATCGGTGTCACATTAATATTGGCAATATGAGTGGTCTCGCAGTGCCAGCGCCGTGCCAGTCAAACCGTGACGTTGCCCAACTTGATGAACGTTCGGTTCCGTTCGAAGAACCATTTTAACCAGTCTTTCTGTCATATTTATGATAGTCCCAGTGCTGTAGTCTCTGCTGTCGATGACCATTGCAATGAACGTGAGCAATTAAACGTTGGAGGAGTGAGGAAATCGTCTGGAGACATTCCGTCGCAGTGATTGTTGAAGCCCTCCGGGCGGACGGAGGAGACATTCCTATACGAGTATCTGCTGTTCCTGTACGTGCATATCGGTCGACACGATCACAAGCTGCTTGAAATCACATGTCAGGGATATTTGCAGCCATCCGACGACTATCAGAATCAGCCGCAGCCACATTGAACTGGTGGCTTCACCGTCGGCTTGAAGGTTTACATCGGGTTGGCTAATGCCAGGATATAGGCGACAACTACCTCACGGAACCAAGCGATGGAGG